TGGCAAGGGCCGCGCCAGGGGACGAGCCACGGAACGTGCTTGGGGACACATCAATTTCTTATGTAACACGTCTCTGCTTGATCCGTGTTCCCATGGACACGCTCTTTCATATATTATAAATCATTCGCGTAACCTCACCACCCCATCCAAGAAAGGTGCCCAGGCGAGTTGTTTTGATCATGCATGTGGGGGAACACGCAGTGGAAGAAAGCTTGGGAAACTGTCATGCCCCAAGAAGGGGAAGGATGGAGGAAGGACCAGAGGAGGAGGAGGAGGACGAGGACGAGGAGGAGGACACATAGAGGAGGAGGAGGAGGTGGAGGAGAGGGAGGAGAAGGAGGAGGAGGTGGAGGAGGACCAGGGTAAATCCAGAACGCATCAGCGATGTTGGAACCCACCCTCCCTTCAAGCTCTCTCTTCCTCATCTGCCACTTCAACGTTTTCATGCCCACTGAGCGGAAATGCCCCGTCGTGGGACATCCGCTTGAATCCAGAAGCGTGCGAAACAAAATCACAGGAATCCAACGCCACGAGTGAACCTGACTGGTACGTTTTGGCGATTTTGAATTGTGCCAGAACTGCACTCGCAGGACGTCAGCGTAGCGAATAAGCGTAATTTTTGCGCCCTGACAATCCTGAATCGCTCTAAATCGCACATTATGGTACGTTGGCCATGAGAATCAGTGACAACTCCTGCGATATTAAGGACGAGTGTGCGCGTTGCTACGGCGAGAGCCACATTTAGAAAATGAGCCGCCTTCAATCCGTGAAACCCTTGCAAACTTTGTTACACGAATGTGCGCGGCGCTAAGCTGAGAGTCACATGTTGAAAACCATTCGCCCTCAATCTGTGAAGCCTCGTCAGTTTTTGTTAACGAATGTGCGCGGTGCTGAGGCGAGAGCCATATGGTGCAAACCACCTGATTTCAAACCATGGAACTCTAGCAAATTATTAAAACGCAAGTGCGCGGCGCTAGCGCGAGAGTCACATGTTGGAAGCGACCCGCCCTCCATCGGTGAAATTATTGCCAAGTTCTAAGCTTCAGAATCATCACTGGTGAGGGTGTCTCATGCGAAGCGCCCCGCCCGCCCATTCGAACGGCCTCGGGGTGCGTCAAGAACGAGCTGTTCACAAGGACAAGGGATAGAGGAGGAAGGAGGGGGGAGGGAGGAGGAGGATTAGGCAGATGATTATGATGCTGGCGATGATGATGATGATGATGATGATGATGATGATGATGATGATGATGATGATGATGATGATGATGATGATGGTGATGATGATGCTGATTATTATACTGATGACGATGATGATGATGATGATGACGATGATGATGATGATGATGATGATGATGATGATGATGATGATGATGATGATGATGATGATGATGATGAGGACTGCCAAGTACGCTATAGGCTTCAGAACGCCTAAGCCCATCTTGAAGGATGAGGCGACCCACAGAGTTCGGTGATCCACGACCGCTTGGAAGTCTCATCCTTAAAGTCTTGAGTTTGCGTGGTGCGATAGGTACTCGAATGGGAACAGTCTGGGGTCGTATGCGAACGAGCCCCTCACAATGCGGAACGTGCGTGCTCCACGCTCTGATTGATGAGCCCTCTGGTGTGGTCAGCACGCCGAATTGTCCAGTGGACAATTACGTGCCCGCACGCGTTCCTCAAATGTACTTCTGAGTACGGTGTCCAAAGCCCCCTCCTCCTACTTCCTCTCATCCCCTCCAGAAGAGAGGGAGAGGACAAAGGCGTCGGCGCTGGTAACGCAGCGGGAGTTCGGACTTGGTTCTCATGGGCCAGCCGTGCGTGCCCGCCCGTGGACCCCTGGAGGGGCAGGGCGCGGCGACCCTTCCTTTTGGCCCGCCACCTCTTCCAGAGGCCTCCGAAAGCCGAAAGGTAAGGACCGGACCCCGTGAAACATGATGATGATGAGGAGGAGGATGACGATGAGGATGAGGATGAGGATGAGGATGAGGATGAGGCGGAGGAGGAGGATAACGAGGATGCGGGTGAAGATGAGAAGATGCGGGTGAGGACGATGATTATTATGATGATGATGATGATGATGAAGAAAATGATTATGATGATGGTGATGATGATTATGGTGGTGGTGGTGGTGATCGGGATGATGATGAGGATGATGAGGATGATGATGATGATGATGCTGGTGATGATGCTGATGATGATGTGATGATGCTGATGATGATATGATGATGATGATGATGATGATGATGATGATGATGAGGATGATGATGATGATGATGATGATGATGATGATGATGATGATGGTCATGGTGATGGTGATGGTGATGACGATGATGATGCTGATGACGATGATGATTATGGTTATGATGATGAGGAGGAGGAGGATGCTGCTGCTGAAGATGATGATGATGCTGATGATGCTGATGATGATGATGATGGGGGACTGGAATGAGGACGAGGATTAGGCGGATGAGGCGGAGGAGGGGGAGGAGGAGGAGGAGGAGGAGGAGGAGGAGGAGGAGGAGGAGGAGGAGGAGGGAGGAGGACGGCGAGCAGAAAAAATGCCAGAGGCCTCTTGGGTGCCCTTCGGAGTTTCATCGGGCGTCTCTTGGGAGCTTCTTGTAGGCCTCTTGGGGCCTCTTGGGTTCCTCGTGAGGGTACAAGGGCATCTTTAAGCGTTTTGGGTGCCTCGGGGGAGCCTGTTGGAGGTCTCTTGGGAGTCTCGTAGGGGTCTTTAGGAAACATCTTCGGGGCGTCTTGGGGGCCTCTTTGGGGCCTCGGGGTGCATCTTGGGGTAGTCTTGGAGGAGATCGGTCAAAGGAGGAGCCGCAGTGAGGTAGCCTTCCCCCCCGCCACGAGGCCATCATGTGGCCAAAACCTTAGACGCATCACTGATTTGTGCCTTCGCGCCGAGGCCGTTTTGGACGCTCCAACCCCTCGCGTTCCCCCCCCCCCGCCTGCAGGTTGAGGGGGAGGGGAGGGGGATGGGGGGAGGGGTACACCCGTTCCCGAAGGGGAAGAAGGGAGGTTGGACGAGGAAACGCTCTAAACCACTCACGCCCTACAAGGCTGGTGGGATTTCAGTGGGTCCGCGCTCCGAGAGCGGCGATCCCGCGTAGATAACGCTGGATCCGACGTCCCAGCGCCACGACCCTTGCAAAGTAAAAAAGATCCGCGCTCCTAGCGCCACAGTCCTTGATGAAATAGGCTTGGTTCGCGCTCTCAGGGGCCCGATGCCCTGTAAAGTACGCTGCGTCCGCGCTCCGAGGGCCAGTCTCTACTGAATTACGGTACGTCCGCGCTCCCGGGGCTGCCCTCATACATGACACTTTATTCGCGCTCCCAGCGTCACGATCCCTGGTGAGTTACGCTGCGTTCGCCCTCCAAGGGCAAAACTCCTTACACATTTACGCAGAGTTGGCGCTCCCAGGACAAATCCTCCAGAAAGTTTCGTTGCGTCCGCGTTGGAATACGGTCCCTTTGCCCTTTGTCCTTCACATTGGATGTGCCCTCCCACGGCCACGATCCCTACTAATTAACGCTTCGTCCGCTTTCCAAGGGTAACGATCCTTAGTGTATTACGCTGCGTCCACACTCCCAGGGCCACGATCCTTGTACATGTTGCTGCATCCGTACTCTCAGGGCCACGATCCCTTTTACATTACGCAGCGTCCACGTTCTGAGCGCCAGGATCACTGGTGAATTACCGTGTGTCTACGCTCCCAGAGCCTCCTGTGGCATCCTGGGGCGTCAAGTGTTGCAAGCTCTGCAGACCAAGCGTCTCGCCCGAGGCATCTTCAACGAATTCTGAAGGACAAGCGTTTCGCCCGAGGCCTGCAAATCCCCCGGGACCGCCCTCCAGCGCTAGCGGACTGAGTATCTAAACGCTCCAACTTGAATTTCTTGTGTGGAGGATCTGGCACATCTGTGGCCCGCTGCGCTGGCGAATTGATATTGACGAGGGGTAGTGAGGAGCAGGGGAGCGAGGGGGAGCGGAAGGAGGAGGGTGAGAAAGAGGGTGGATGCGGACGGTGAAGCATTGCAGGGGTAAAGGATCAGCGATGACGACGGAGGAGGAGGAAGGGGAGGAAGAAGATTGAGGGGCGCTTCTGACAGTTCCTCTTGTAGGTTTTACCCACGAGTCATGAGGCACCTGCGCCGACGACGACGCGCCTCCCGCCCAGGAGCTTGTTAGGAGTATCCTGCCCCACCGTTTTGGCGACGTGAAGGCGGGCAGCTCGCGCTTTCACGGTGGCGACGACCAGCGACGGCGACGACGACGACTCGGCGACGGCGACAAAAGTGGCGGCGGCGGCGACGACCGGTGGCGTCGGCGGCGACGACTCGCGACGTCTATGGCGACAGCGACGACGATTGCGACCGCGAGGGCGTCGGCGGCGAAGGCTAGGGCAACGGCGAGGGTGTGGACGAGGGCGGTGCCGAGGAGGTCGTCGTCGTCGTCATCGTCGTCGTCGTCGTTGTCGTCGTCGTCGCTGGCGGCCAGGGCGCCCCCCCGTGTCCGGCCCGTCGCTGAGGCACCCGGGGGCGCCCTGGCAGAGGAGGAAAACGACGATGCGGGTTGTGGCGTCGAGGTTCTCCGCGTGAATGGAGTGGGTCCTGGACGGAGTGGGCCCTGCAGTCGTTTTCTGCTGCCGTTCTTGCGTTGTCAGAGCCCTGGCCCAGCCCCTGGGCCCTTGGACCGTAAACGGCTCATGGTGAGAAGCTGGTTCCCCCGGGCTTAGCCTCGGAGGAGAGAGTACGTTTTTCGACGAGGATGATCGAGTATCAATCTTCAGGGGTCCGCATGGATTTCTTTTGAGGGCGCTGGACCCCCCCTCCTCCACACAACAAGAGTTGGAACAGGGCAGGAAACGGGGGAACATTTTGGTAAGCTGCAGGCGGAGGATGCCGTGCGCATGGTTGGACGGTGCTCGAGAGAGTTGAATGGGGGCATACCATCGAGCCATTTCGGTTTTGGCCGCCGCGGTTCAAGCACTCCTGAGATGCTAGACATCCAGCGTCGACCACGACAGGGAGTTCCTTCATTCGAGGACAGTATCAAAAAGTATGGGAGGACGAAGCAGTGGGGCGCAGCGCTGCAGCTGTTCCGGGAGGAGTCGAATTTGCGCGCGAGGCTTAGACCGTTCTTCTACGTTTCGACCAGCAGCGTGTGCAGAAGAGGCGGCCAGTGGCAGCGGGCATTGTCGCTCCTGGTCGAGATGGTGGACGAGAAATTGGAGGCCAGCGTCATCAGCTGTAACGCTGCGATCAGCTCGTGCGAGAAGGGTGAGCAGTGGCAGGGGGCCATGGGACTGCTCAGAGAGATGCTTGAGGCAAAGCTTGAGCCCGATGTCGTCAGCTACAGCGCTTGCATCAGCGCGTGCGAGAAGTGCGAGCAGTGGCAGCGAGCTTTGGGGCTGCTCAGCGAGATGTTCGAGGTGAAGGTCGTGCCTAACGTGGTTTTCTCACCTACATTGCAGGCATACGAACAGGGCCGGAGGGTCAAAGGGGCCCCCAAAGCGCTCCAGAGCGGCTCGTGAGTTGTCGGCGTAGTGCGGACGAGATTTATAACGAATGTATTGTGTCCAATTGTGCCCGCGGCCTCCATTCTCGTCAAAGACGCTTCAGAGACGGCCAGTGGGCGCTCCAAGACGCCCAAGATCGCCTGAAGACCGCCCCACAAGCCTCCAATAATGTCCTTAAGAAACGCCAAGAACAGCCCAAGAGCACTAAGAAGACCGCCCGAGGAGGCTCGAATTGTTGTCGCTCGGCGTATCCACACCAGCCCGCTGCCTACTTACGTCAAGTACAGGCAGTACTGCAAGGTGTGGGCGGTCCTCTACTAGTTCCACGTCTGAGCCGCGGCTGTTTTTCTTCTTTCCCGCCTCTGTTCTTGTCTCTCGTCGCAGGCCTCTCTTCCTCTCTGTCTTCGTCTTCGTCTGTTGTCTTCGTTCGCTCCCGCCTCCCCCGCGTTGCCGCTGCTCGTCGCCTGTTAGTTTTCGTCTCCTTTGTGCATTCTTTTTCCAGCGTCTTGCCAGCGACAGGCGCGCTGTGTTTCCAATGTTCGATTGCTGTTCGACCCTTCTGAAGCCGCGCGGGTGTCCGCCCGCGGTCGCGATCAAAGAGTATCCACACCAGCCTGGCTTCCTCTTCGTGGTGTCGCTCGACTGACGCTCGCCGCGCCGCTGGCACTTGGCCTGGGGTTCTCTCAGACTTCAGCTGCTTGCTGCGCCGCCCCTCTTGGGGCCGTCTGGCCCCCCCTGGCCACCGCCGCCCTGCCGCCGACCACAGCCAGGCGTCCGCCCTCCGTCCCTGGCGTCTGATGGTGTCCGCGCTGGCTTCTTCGAGCCTGGTGAGGTAACCCTGGCGCCCAGGTGACTTGCACGTCGACCAGCTCCAGCTAGCATGCGCGCATGTTATTGGCCCCCGTCCCCAGACGCTGCCGCAGCCTGGCCGTGTTTGCCGCTGCCGCCTTGCAGTGGTGGGATGTTTCCGCGTGGATTGCTCATGAGCGGTTTAGCCTTCTTGTTCAACCACTGGAGGTCGCCACTATTGGCATGCGACGCAGGTGCGCTGGACTGCTGGCTCCGCCCCGCGCTATGCCGTGCTCTGCTCGGTGGCACGTTTACCTCTGGCGCCTGGCGCGACAAGGTGCAAGTCGTTGGCCTTCCTGGTGGTCTCGCCCCTGGGGTGGTTGCACTTCAGGCCGTCTGGCACACCTGGCAGCTTTGCAGCTCAGCCTTCAGTCGACGGCGTAGCCCGGCGTCCTTCGGCGGCAGCTCCTGCGGCCGTTCGTGCGCGCTTGGTAATTCAGTTTCGATCGTAGCCCGGGCTGACTTCGGACGCCGCCTGCGTTTTCGCTTGCGGCCGCGACTAAACAGTATCCACACCAGCTGTGAGCGGCAGCGAGGCTCGCATTTCGTTTGCCCCCACCCGCTGTTTTTTGTTTTTTTGTTTTCCCCCTCCCCTTGCGCTAGTTCAGGCCGTTGGTAGTGCGCACCGCCCCCTGACGCCGACCGAGTTCTCGCCGCGGTCGCGATCAAAGAAGTATTCACACCAGCCCATCCAGAAACGATGCCCAAGAGAGTTGCCATGATCAGTGACGTGGGGGAACTTACAGCGGAACGCAGGGATGGAGAGACCGTCGTACCCCAAGAAGGGGGACGGAGGAGGGGGAGTCGCAGAAGGAAGAGGAAGAGGAGGGGGAGGAGGAAAACAAAGAGGAGAGGAGGAGGAGGAAAAGGAGGAAGAGGAGGAGGAGGAGGGCGAGGCAGAGGAACAGGTAAAACGAGGAGAAGGTGGGGAACAACCCGGAGAATGAGGAGGAGGAGGGGCAGGAGGAGGAGGAGGAGGAGGAGGATAGGAGGAGGAGGAGGGGCAGGAGGAGGAGGAGGAGGAGGAGGAGGAGGAGGAGGAGGAGCAGGAGAGGAAGAGGAGGAGGAGGAGGAGGAGGAGGAGGAGGAGGAGGAGGAGGAGGGAGGAGGAGTAGAAGGAGGAGGAAAAGGAAAAGGAGGCAGAGGAGGGGAGGAGGAGGATGGGGAGGAGGAGGAGGAGGAGGAGGAGGAGGAGGAGGAGGAGGAGGAGGAGGAGGAGGATTAGGAGGATCAGGAGGAGGAGGAGGAGGAGGAGGAGGAGGAGGAGGAGGAGGAGGAGGAGGAGGAACATGTCGAACAAAACAGCCAGAAGCCTCTTGAATGCCCATCGGAGACTCCACGGGTGTGGCGTGGAAGCTTTTTGGAGGCCTCTTAGGGCCTCTGGGGGGGGGGGGCATCTTGGCGGGCCCAGGGCTGTTTTTTAGCGTCTTGGGTGCCGCGGGGATCCGGTTGAGGCCTCTGGGCAGCCTCTTGGAGGTCCCTGGGCAGTCTTTGGGAGGCCCTTTGGAGGCCCTCTGGGGGCCCTCTTAAGGGGCTCTTTGGAGCTCAAGGCGCGGTGTTGGAACCATCTTGGAAGACATCGGTACAACAAGACGAGAGCTTTAATCTAATGTGCCCTTCTACGTAGAGTGCCTGAGATCACCTCTTGGGCGCTCTCGGGGCGCTCTTGGAGCGCTCTTGGGCATTCTGGGGGTCGTCTTGGGGCCCCTCTTGGGTAATCTTGGAGCCATCTTGAGGCCTCGGAAGGCCATCTGCAGCGAAAAGGCGAGAAATCAAAACAGATAATGTGTCCTTCAGTGTTGGACGGATTTTAGCCTCTCGGGGGCCTCCGTGGGGAGATCAGGGCCACTTGGACACGTCTTGGAGCGGTCTTGAGGCTTGTTGGATCATATTGGGAGCCATCCTGAATCATCTTGAGCCATCTTGGAGGCCATCTTGGATCTTGGGCCATCTTGGACGCTCCAACGCCTCGCGGGGCGCCACGTCCAATTCCAGGGGATGGGGTAGGGGAAGGGGTAAACCACACCCCGAAGGGGAAAAAGGGGATTGGAAGAGAAACCGCCCTGGACCACTACGCCCAGGGGGCCGGTGGGATTTGTTGATTTTGCTTGCTGTATGATCGCGTCGTTTCGATCGTGGGCGACCCCGCCATCAACGTTGAACGCCGCGAGCGACCCAGAATTTGTCGATATTGAACGACTTGACGTTTCGGAAACGGCCGACCATTTAGGGTTGACCAATCCAAGCGGTGTCAGAAACCAACGCCGGGGTCGACACACTTTAAGGGTAGCTTTTTGGGAGATGTTATACAGAATCGGGAGTATAGCTCGCGCGCCGTTGCCTTTGACTCAAGGCACGCGCGCCCTATTTGCCCGGACACTTACCTTAGTGTTCGCTATGTGCTGGAAAGATCATTACATCGATCTTATCCTATCTTATCCGTCCATTCCCCATACTGAACCACCCCAGCAGGGCAATGGACGCTATCTGCCATTCGATTCCCATGGGAGCGGATGTTATTTGACTTACCATAGTCACTTTCGACTTGGTAGCGGAGCTGGCCGCACTCTCGTGTGGTCAGCTCTTGCTCTCCTTATCCTCACGCTACACGGCACGATCTTCGTGACCAACTACCACCCTGCGCCACCACTCCCAGTACACTTACGAGGATCTATTCAAGAGCAAGAAGCAACACGAGAGGTACGACGTCTAGACAACAACATTGGTACCAGATACGCTTCATCACTGCGCTACTACCAACCGCTCGGCAACGATCCAAAAACGCAGTACTTGAAGCAGAGGCGGGGAGACCCGCGAGATAAAGCGCCTCGAAGACTTGACAAGGCGCTACCCCAGCGCGGCAACGCGCCTAATAACCACCCATATCTCCACAGCCTTGGGCTGGTTATATTCGCCATCATATGGTTCGCGCTGGGGGCAGCAATCGGACACATGCGTCGTGGAGAGAACAGCACCGATGGGCAAACACATGGCCCATGCTGGGACCCTCAAGGCAACGTACCTTTCCGCGAGTACGTTTATGAGGTCAACGCGTGGCTCAACGTCAAAAGTGGACGTTTGACGCCACAGGGCCAAACGGCCGCCATACAACGCGGCCTGGGTGGCCTAGCGAGGACACTCGCCATGAGGGTACCACCTGACATTATAAACTATGGTGCTGACATTGATGGGGTCCACACCGACCCAGTGACCTACATCATGTTCCTCCTAAGCATGAAGTTCGAGCGCCTGGAAGATGAGCGCCAGCTCACTTCCGGCACACAGCTTATTACCTAACAGCGAAGACTGATAGGTTTCTAGTGGTTTCAAAAGAGCTCACAGATCACTCCACAGGGGGGTCCGGGCAGGTGTTGGGGCGTTTCCGGGCGGCATGAGCCGGGCTCGTTTTTCACCAACAGTCACACACTTCGTGCTCTTCGCCTTCCCAGAACTCCATTCCCAGGCCACATTCTGGGGGGCCGGATGCAACTGTAGGCCACTTCGTGCTCTTCGACATCCCAGAACGCCATTCCCGGGCCACATTCTGGGGGGCCGGATGCAACTGTAGGCCACTTCGTGCTCTTCGACATCCCAGAACGCCATTCCCGGGCCACATTCTGGATGCCCGGAGCCAACTGTAGGCCACTTCGTGTTCTTCCATTTCCCAGAACTCCATTCCCGGGCCACATTTTGGATGCCCGGAGCCAACTGTAAGCCACTTCGTGCTCTTCGAGTTCCCAGAACTCCATTCCTGGGCTACATTTTGGATGCCCAGAGCCAACTCTAGTCCACTTCCTGGTCTTCGAGTTCCCAGAACTCCATTGCCGGGCAACATTTTGAATAGCCAGACGCTTCATATTCCTTCCGCCACAGCTGTGTTTGGTTCAGGACTTGCTAGTGACACTGCAGTCCTCTGCATTCAATTGGCCACTACATTCATTCACTGCAGTCCACTGAGTTTTGATTGCAATGGCGTTCCCCTGGCCGTACCCCCATGTCCAACGTTCATCCGCAGCCTCTGCTCCGCGAGGCTCGTCCGAAGTGTCGCCGCCTCGCGGTGCTTCTCAGCCTGCGCCGCCTCGCGG